GGACAACTTCTTGTGTGATGTGCCGCAGGTCATCAAGCTGGCCTGCACTGACACCTTTGTGGTGGAGCTCCTGATGGTCTTCAATAGTGGCCTGCTCACTCTCCTGTGTTTACTGGGGCTTCTGGTCTCATATGCAGTCATTCTCTGCCGTGTACGTGGTTCCTCCTCTGAGGGTAAGAGCAAGGCCATGTCCACATGCACCACCCATATCATCATTATATTTCTCATGTTTGGGCCTGGCATCTTTATTTATAGCCGCCCCTTCAGAGCCTTACCAGCAGACAAGGTGGTTTCTTTTTGCCATACAGTGATCTTTCCTTTATTGAACCCTGTGATTTATACCCTTCGCAACCAAGAAATAAAAGCTTCAGTGAGAAAGTTATTTTATCAGCACTTAGCCTGATAAAACGTGGGAAAAATGAATAAGAAAATTGAAACTGGAGAATTTCATGTGACATTAATGTATTCATTTTCTTAACACTACATTTATTGATCATCCGCTGTCTGTCAGGACTATTCTATGCACCAGGAGAATATAGCTATCAAGGAGTCAGGTAATGTCACTGCCCTCCTGAAGTTACAATTTAGTAGGAATAAACAGCCAGTAACATAGAAAATAAACAGGAGTGTTTCAAGAACTAAAACGAAAAGCAAAATAGTAGATTGTAACTGTGAGACCGGGGTAATGACCTTACTTTTAGTCGTCGCAGGGAGACGACTATGAGGAGATGTCATTTTGGCTGATATTTAGATAAAACGAATATGCCACTGTGCAGACAGCAGCAGGCAGAGCACTCCAGGCAGAGGGAATATACAGTGCAAAAATTCTGAGCATGTAATTAATTTGGTATGTTTGACAAACACAGCAAAGTCAGATTGACCAGGATATAATAGATGAATGCAAAAATGATTAGAACTCATTGGAGATACCAATAGTGTCCAACACATGTATGGGTCTATAAAGTGGATATTAAGAGTTTATTTTTAAAATAATTACTATAAGAAATCTTTGTAAGATTTTAAGCAACAGAGTAATTACTCTACTATGGTTTCATAAATGACTTAGGGCTGTGAACATAAGATTTTGTGAAGATATCAGAGTTGAAAAATATAACTAAAAGGGAAATACCATGCCTATATTTTGAAAGAAATTAAGCTGTAAATTTTTCTTCCATAATTACATAAAGGAAAGCAAAAGAAAGTTGGTAGTCTTCAGGGGAAAAGGATGTGTTTCATGTTTCATGGGCACGTTTCACTTTCTTTTCTCCAAAACTTCATGAGCAGCCCTAGCAGATTTTTATGACTCCTAGCTGTCTGTTGATCTCATCACTGATTGATTTCACACTGAATGTAGTGATCATGGTTCTTTGGAGGACCAGTCAGGAATGTGTTGCATTCTCGCTATGTAAAGGATGATTTAACATAGAGAATTATGTGCTTATGAAAATTTGCAAAGTCTGGAAGAACAGACTATGGGCTGGGAATGCAGATATGACACCTAAAACAACACAGACTGTCAAAAGAGAGCTGTTTTTGCTACACCCTTTGCCATCTGTTGTGTGAAAACCACCACCCTGTTAGGATCAAGACGATGATCTGCCACTCTGCACCAATTAGATCTCCCCAAGAAAAACAGAAGCCTCTCCTGTTACTGCCTCTTTGCCTAACTGACTTAACAAAATTCAAGAGTCTTCTGAATACACTGAATGAATGGGAAGCATCTAAAACAACAGTGTAACCAAAAATAGAAGGGATTGATTTTTATATTTTATTTGAAAAATAATCAAAATTAAAATGTTTATGAATATAAACCATGTATAATATAAAATATTCAGATTATGAAAAAATATTCAGATATTCTATATAAATATTCAGATATTCTCAAATATCTCCCTCATCAGTATTTTCTCAAAAAGCTCCCTCCCCATCCTCATTCTCAGCTTATCATGGAGCTTCCTATTTCACTGAAAGAAGCAGCAGAAGAGAATTCCTCAAGCTTCTACTCCTACATCTGCCCATGTGCCTGCATCCCTCCTGTGACTGGGTGACCTGATGGTGCTCCCACAAAAACTGACTCCCCCATCTGTGCCACAGAGTCCTTCCCTTCTTTCCCACTAAAGGCCATCATTCTGGTAATTCTCCTTTCTGTCTTCTGCACCATTAACTTTCCCCTCCCTATTGGATTTTCCCCTTAGCATATAACCACATTTCTTTCATCTTAAATAAAACCTTTTTGTCAACTTTCTCCTTCCATATCTTACCTCAGTTCTCTCCTTCCCTTTACAGCAAAGCTCCAAGGTAACTTATACTTTAACAATACTAATAGACTTCTTAAGAGCTGTTTTAGGTTCATAGAAAAGTTGAGCAGAAAATACAGAGTTCCTATATCCCTCCCCACCTCACTACACACACATACTTTCCTCCATTAATATCCTGCATTAGTGTGGTATGTTTGTTATAACTGACGAACCAATATTAATACATTATTTAAAAATGAAGTCCATAGTTCACACTAGGGTTCACCTTTTGTGTACAGTTTCATGGATTTTGACAAATGCATGTCATATATCCACCATTACAGTATCACGCAGAATAGTTTCGCTGCTCTAAAAATCCCCTATGATCCACCCAGTCATCCCTCCCACCCTCTCCTCTCCCCTCAAGCCCCTGACAACCACTGACCGTTTTACTATTTCTATGATTTTTACCTTTTACAGAATGTTGCAGAGTGGGAATCCTATAATCTGTAGTCTTAATCTTTTCAGGCTGGCATGTTTTTACTCTCTGCTTCCAATGTCTTTCCTTTTCACCCAATCATGCTGATAAAACAGCTCCTGTTGTGCTCACCAATGATTCAAAGATCCTTGTTCAGGTCTCTTGGTATTTGACCTCTGAATAGCACTTGACACAGTGGATCACTGCCTTCCAGGAGTCTCCACTTGCACAGTCGCCCTTCCACCTAAGCAGCTGTGCCCTCATTCTTCTTGAGAGTTTGTCGTTAGCTACCCTGCTTTCTTGGCTTTAATCCCATCTATATATTGCTTGCTTCTATACACATCTTCCTCATGGACCCTAGGCTCCCCTACTCAGCATCCAGTGCCACTGTCACAGCTCTACCTTCGGTGTCCTAACCTTGCCTCACGCATCACATCCCAGACTGACTCCTGATCATCACCACACCCCTCTCCCCATCCTACGATTCAATTCTTAGTTAGTTGTAACTTCATTTTTCCAGTCTCTGGTCTAAAATCTTGGATTTATTATATTTTAGAAATATCTTCTTTCATATTCCACATGCAATCTGTTAATAAGTCCGGGTTAGTTCTGCCATCATAAAATTGCCAGATTAGGTCATCCATCCCTGAAATTCTACCACCGAGGCCCAAATCACCAACATCTCTTGCCTCTGTTATGACTGTAGCCTCTTTACTGGTCTTACTTCTGTTCTTGTCTCATTTTAGTTTTTTCTCAGCTGGGCATCCAGAATGATCTGGTTAAAATAGTCATACCATCTGTCTTCTCAAAATCCTTAATGACTCCCAACCATAAAGAGCTAAAGTTTTCTCTTGTTATCTCTAAAGTCCATACGACCCCTTCTATCTGTTCCAACTCCTAACCCTTCTGCTCTCTGACCTCTTATCCTACTACATCTTATACTGATCATTCTGTTCAGACCTATTGGCTTCCTGTTCCCCTCACTCCCTACCCCAGGTCCTTTGACTTGCTGTCTGAAATGTGCTTTTCCAAGATATTGGCAACTTACTTTATAATTTCCTCAAATTTGACCCATCCTCAAGTGTCACCTTTCATGTGAGATCTCCCCTACTGAAAACTGCAACCCGCTCCCCCAGCACTGCCTACTGCACTTCCCTGCATCACTTCATTACTTTTCCCCATAGCACTCATCAACTTTGAACAGGGCACATGTTGCACATGCTTATTTTTTGGCTGTCTTTTTCTCCTGTGGTATATAACATCCATGAAAGCAGAAATCCATTTGCTTTGATTATTTCTCAGCACAAAAAAGATGCTTGTAAATATTAAATAAATAAAGAACAATATGAAAATTACATCCAATGCTATCATTTAGAAATATTTAACATTAAAATTTTGTCAGTTTTACTTGTATAAACACATAATTATTTTTATAAAAATTGGATCATATCATACATGTAGTTTATAATTTTAATACTATAGGCATGTTTTAAATAAATATAGATCATAATACTCAAATGACTATGAACTATTCAATAACCATTTATTATTATTTATTAAATAATCCCCTGCTTTTGTATATTTAGAATTTTGCTGTTATAAGCTAAGTTTATATAAAAATGTTTTAAATACAACTTTTTACTCTTATTTGAGTATTTTCTGGGAATAAATTTTTAGAAGAACAATTACTAGGTCACAAGGAATAAACTTTGATACATAGTGAAATTCTGTTAATTTAATCTTCCACCAACAATATATGGAATTATCTGTCCTTGCTATTTCTAAGAGTAGCATTTGCTTTGTTTTAAAGATTTATAATTTGGAAAAGACAGGAGTATTATATTTATTATAGCTTTCAGTTTTGACTATTGCAAACAATGTCTATTGATTAAGTGCATTTTTTCCTAACTTTTTTTAATTGTGATAAAATTGGTAGATGAGACTTTATTAGTTGCAGATGTACAACATAGTGATTCGATATTGGTACAGATAAATTACATGTATTTTTTCATGTGTTCAATTTTCAGTTTAATTTCTTTGAAAAATAAGCATGTTCATTTTATCCATTTGATTTGTATCACCTATTGATAAATACTGACACAAACTCTAGAATTAGTTTGTTGATATCTGTAAAATCCCTCTATCACTTGTGATTATACTGAGCTGATCTTATTCTAAAGTTGATTAGCAAACTTAACTCCATCTGAAAAGTCCCGTTTGCCAATTGTTATAATCCTGTAAACATTCTAATATTGTAAATTCTAATATATTCTTTGGTCTATCTCTACTTGGTGTCCTCCCAGTTCCATTACATTAATTTTTAGTCACACACATCCCATGTTTTTTGTATATTATTTTACTATTTCACTTTATAATAATTTTGCATATAATAAATGTTATTTCTAATTCCTAACCACTTTCCTGATTTACCTCTAGAAAAATTCTGAAAATTATTTTAAGTCTTTAGTGGAATTTATATATTGAACAACTGAATTTCTCCTTCCAGTAATACAGTATGAACTTCAATTTATTCAACTTTTTTCCCTTCTGTAGAGTAGTACAGCTTTTGTCCCCAAGATACATTTCTGATTAATATTATTCCTATTTACTTTAGATATTCTATTGCTCATCCATGTACTTTAACAAGTAATTGTTCATTCATCAGAAAGATATTGGTTTCATTTGCTTATTTTGTAACTTGCCACTGTACTGAATTACTTGGTTTTGCTTTTTAAAATTCTACTTTATAAATTATTTTAAAGAAAAATCAGTTTTGGTTTCTTTTGGTGTACAGTTCTATGAATTTTAACACATGTACAGATTCGTGTAACCATGATCACCACAGAGATAAAGAACAGTTTTGTTATGCCCTCAAACTCCTTCATGCTCTTCTGAATTATCTTTTACTTCTATTATTTTTCTGTTACTCTTCTTGCCTTTTTCAGGATAACTATGGTAATAATTAATTACATACACTTATCTTTCATTTTAAGCCAGGACAAATATTTTAGATTTACCGAATCTTTGCAACTGTTTTTGTGTTGGTGGGCTTTTTAAAAAAGTCATTTCCTTTTTTTCTCTTTCCAGAAGAGAAATAAAACAAAAACATCTTTTAAACAAAGTCACCTTTTTTTTTTTTTAAATTTCAATGCCTGCACGGAATATGGTCAGCTAGGAAAGATATTCTTGGTCTGCACTGCTAGTCTAGTGAGGAATATAGCATAGGTACAGAAGTTGTGGAGTTCAAATCACTGAGGTGTTTGGGAAGAAAGTTGTGCTTGGAGAACACGCCATGAATGAATGATCGACCTTGACCTTCAAGTAAATATGGCAAGACCCTCAGTTACAGTTTCAGGTTGGGATTCCACATCTAGTATCCCCCTGAATTATGTGTCATGGATATTTAAAAAATAATGTTAGTAACTATAATCACCTCTGTTGTTCCTTCTATTATATTTTATTCAGCAATTTCTCTGTGCCAGGCATTATGCTAAATGCTTTGCATTTATTTGTGGGATTTAATTCTTATACCATTCCTCTAGGCTACTTGTATGGTACCCATCTTCACTTTTCTCAGCTACTCTGAGCTTTACAGCTTCTCTTTCCCCAGATTTCGCCTACCCGTGGCAGTAGCTGTCATTATACCTATTCACCTATACTAATTTTTGGTATCCTCTCAAAAACGTTAACGCAGGATTCCTTCTTTACATGATTCTTTGAATAAAGCAAGAGTTTGCAGGTGATGAAATGCCTTAGCCTAAAAGAGTAATTTTCCAACTTTGGGACATGGAACCTGGGGCATAAATGTGGGAATATTTCCATAGTCAAAGGAGCAACATTTTACTCCGTAAATGTTCCTTTAACAACTGCTCCAAGGTCTTCTCAAGGCCAGTCCCAGGTGTGCTTTTTCTCTCATGAATACTGCTTCATCATGAATGTGCATCCTCACTTTAAATAGCAAAGACGCACTCCACAGCTCTAGTTGCAACTTAGGGAAAAGCCAGCTCAACATTTTAATAACTCCCACTGCAAACAGATCGTAGTACCTAATCCCTGATCTCCTAAATGTCCCTGCTTCCTAGTGGCTTTTATACCAAGATCAGAGAAATATACATCCATACTCCAGGCTTCTGATGTATATAGTAAGGACTATGGTAATGCTGATTTCAGGAGGTGTGAATCTCGAAGGATATGGTGTTTTTGATTCCTGATGCGTAGCCGGTAGGTGAAAAGCTAGATATAATATTAAGGATCTTGAGAAGCAATTATAGTTCATGTTCTTCAGGTAGAAAAAGATTTTCATTTAATTTGTATAAATCAAAAATAATAGAGGACTGGGGGGAGGGAATAGCTCAATGGTAGAGTGCATGCCTAGCATGCACGAGGTTCTGGGTTCAATCCCCAGTACCTCCATTAAAATAAATAAACAAATAAGCCTAATTACCTCCCTCCCAAAAATATAAATTAAAAAAAATAGAGGACTAGCAAAGACAAAATGTATATAATTTGAATTATATATATATAATTTGAAGACATAGATGATTCGATTAAATAGGTAACAGAGATGCTTTGCTAAAGATGAAAGAAGAAAAAACCTAATAACTGTTCATTCATTTATAATGAATGCATAATACATTCATTATATATTTATATAAATGTAAATTAGGTATAATTTTAGTTTTTGTGTCCTCATAAATTAATTAGGAAAATAGAAGAGATATGGAAGATCTGAGAATGAGAATTTTTAATGCCTTTAATATATCAAGATACTCATATCATTTTTATAAGAAAAGAAGTAATTTGACTTTAAAAAGATGAAATGATTTTGGAAGTCCACATCTTTTTCTAAATCACTAAATTGAAACTAGATTAGAATATTTTTACTGAAATTATTTTACTATTAATGAAATAAGCTGATTATTTCTGAACAGTATTCTTAAATTTGAATTTCAAAACCTAGAGAATTCTTGAATGTTACCCAGGAAATATGCTTAGTGCTTTAGACAGACCATCTAGTTTAATTCTCACGGTGAAGAGGCCATATCTTAGAGAGGCTACTAAGGTAACATCAAGGTCACACAGCAGGTCAAGGATATCTAAACTTTCATAACTACTTTGCCACAGTTCAGTTTTAGAATCTCAGGAATATTGTTCTCTGACAATCTTAAAAATATTTGTCAATATTGACAGAACAATTTGAATATTTACAAGTAAGTAAGGATAAAGCCAGATTTTTCTCCACATGGGAAAACAGGAGGTCACTTAAATGAAAAATGTCACAGGAGATATTTGCAGAATTTACAATTCACTGTAAATCAAAAACTCAATTTTGAAAAATGAGGCTGAGTCCTTAATGTATCTTTCTTTATTTTCTTTCAGTTGCCTCTGGTACTACTTTGACTTACCATCATTAATGTGGGTTCTGTTTTGTTTGCTTTGTTTTGCTTTGAGCATCATATATGCTGGTACTACAAGAGACCCAACTTTCATCTTGTATATTTCCTGGCCTTGTCCTAGACTCTTTTTCTTTTTTCTAGTCTAAAAAAATAGCCTTCTTTTAGTAACATGAGGAGAAACAAAGGAGGGATATTTCTCCCTCTTTTTAAAAAATGTTTCTATGAGATCATAAAATAACAAAGTTGAGAATAACTCATCTGTTACAGGTGAACCTTTTGGTCATCAGTAATTTTATGGAATTAAGAAATTAATTTATCATTTACATATTCAAAGTTATAATAGTACATATCAATATTGACAAAACAATTTGAAAAGGTGCAAATGAAATGACAATGGAATGGATTTTTCTGTAGCTAAGAAAACAGGAGGTTATTTAAAGAAGAAATCATTTATCACCCTCAAAGGATACTAAATGGGTCTTCTGAAATCATTATGTTAAACTGTTATTTAAATCCAGCATTCAACAATAGTAGATTCAATATAATTTCTTTTTTTGGAGGGGTTTAATAGAAAATTCTGAGAGTTTAACCCCCATTTAAATTTTTAAGTATCTGACTTATTAAGTAGAGCACGCTCACTCAGTGTAATCTTCCTCTGTAACTGTGGATTATGTAACTCCTAAATCAGCATGCAGAAAGGAATGTGCAGAGTATAACCCAGCATGTACTTCATGCTGATCAAAATCAAGTTGTCCATTTGTGGTGATACCTGATAGCAACTGTTAAGTGGTTCCAAAAATGAAAATCTTTACTGAGATAGTTATTAGATGTATTTTAGGTAATCAACATTCTAGTGAATTATTAACTGATACCATAACTCCTCCATACGTAATTGTAGAAGTATCGTACTTTCCAGCTCTGTCATTTGGTTTGATTTTGTCATTATACAGCAGAGCCTGCAGATCAATGGAGATGTTCAACCATTCCAGGGTGTCTGAATTTGTGTTACTCGGACTTACTGATTCTCCTGAGCTCCAGATTTTCTTTTTTGTGATGTTCTCCATTTTTTATTTAATGACCATGTTGGGCAACTGCTTGATTTTGCTCACAGTCCTGTCCACCTCACACCTTCACTCCCCCATGTACTTCCTGCTCAGCAACCTGTCTCTCATTGACATGTGCCTGTCCTCCTTTGCCACTCCAAAGATGATCATGGACTTCTCTGTTCAGCACAAGACCATCTCCTTTGAGGGCTGCATTTCTCAGATCTTCTTTTTGCACCTCTTCACTGGGACTGAGATTGTGCTGCTCATCTCCATGTCTTTTGACAGGTACATTGCCATATGCAAACCTCTCCATTATTCATCAATTATGAGCCACAGAGTGTGTGTCGGGCTTGTGGTAACTTCTTGGACAGTGGGCTTCTTGCATACAGTGAGCCAGTTAGCTTTTACTCTTTATTTACCCTTCTGTGGTCCCAATGTTGTAGACAGTTTCTTCTGTGACCTTCCTTTGGTCATCCAGCTAGCGTGCATAGATATATATTTTCTTGGTATCTTCATGATTTCAACCAGTGGTGTGATTGCTCTTGTAAGCTTTCTGCTTTTGCTCACCTCCTACATCACTGTTCTCGTCACTATCAAGGACCACTCCTCCATAGGATCATCTAAGGCTTTTTCTACCTGCACTGCACATTTCATAGTTGTGTTAATGTTCTTTTGGCCCTGCATCTTTATCTATGTGTGGCCTTGCACAAACTTCCTGGTGGACAAAGTTCTCTCTGTTTTCTATACCATCTTCACCCCCTTTCTGAATCCACTTATCTATACGCTGAGAAACCAGGAAGTGAAGACAGCAGTGAAGAAGAAACTAAGTAACCAACATTTAAATCTTGGGAAAACTATTCCAATATATCCAATGCAATGAGCAGAGATCTCCTGTCTGAGATTAAGATCATCAGTTTTATTCTTAGAACAATAGAAAATTAAAGTTAGAATCTGTCTTTCAAGTCATTTAGTCTAAATTCATGAAAATAAGAAGCTGAGGTTGAGAGATATGAAGTATCTAGCCTAAAAGTACAGGGTTTGCAAGCCTTTTGCAATTACAGATCCATTTGAAAATCCGTTGAAATTTATAGGTTATTTTTATGGAAAGTTCACATATCATCAAAATTGGGAACATAAATTCAGGGCTTCATAGACTCTTGAATTCTATAAACATACATCTGATTAACACTACTCAGAGAAGCCTGAAATAAAACATTGTTCTTTCATCTTCTAACCCAGAACATTCTAGCTCAGCTGCACAGCCTTGTGGTACTCTGATAGTACTTTTTTTTAGTAAATCAATATCTCTTATTGTTATCTTTTAAAGAAAACTAGTGAAGGAAAGGACAAAAAAACTTTTGGTTCCCTTTTTATGTATTTATAAATGGAAAAAAATTTTAGTACAAATTCACTCATTAAAAAACAGGTACAAATTACATTACAGATAACCCTTTGTTTATTTGTTTCACATGGAGATCTTAGAGACTCAATTCATTTCAAGGACATTTTGTGTCCACTTCGTGTCCACTTGTAGAACTCAAATTAAGAGCATTGGGCATAATAGGTGTTTTCATAGCATTGGAATATCTTCATGGAAAATTGAGATTGTGAAGAGATTCTTTTGAATGTTGTTGAACAATATTGGTTCAGTGGGTCCAGTTGTTGAAGTTCTGAGTCAACTTTGAACAAAAGAGAACTGTTCAGGGGATCTGAGATTTAATAAAACCCTGTTCTTAATAAGTGTGTTAATCACTATCACATTTGATAATTGATACTGCAAATAATTAATCAAATGGCAATTTGTAAAGTTCAAACCATAGAAACTAAACTACTCAAATCTGATTAGCTTTCAAAACCTGGCTGAATATCATAGATTTGCTGACTTCATTAATAATACCAAGACTAAATATTTGGAAAGTCATTAACTATTAAATTCATGATAAATTTTTTATTTCCAAATAAATTATCCCAAAATATTATTAGTCTTAGTGTGAGTATATGAATATACACTATAATGTAGCCTGTGTGAAGAAAAGATGATGATAATTTAAGAAATATATTACATAATTCTCCCTAATTTGGTTTTTACTGATTATGTTAAGTACATTTTTTATTACAAGAAAGTCTTTGAAAATCAGCCGGTCGATTTCCCTGACAGCTGAAGAACCAGAGAATTCATTAACCTAGCTCAAGGCTGAATCACTGTAAGGGGCAAAGATCATTGCTCTAAACATATGTGGAACATTGGAATCCTGGATCTGTCATTGTCTAGTTGTGCTCTCCTGGGAGATTCACTTTACCCTCTCTAATCCCTTTTTAATCAATAATATGAAGACAATGAAAGTAAATTGATTGTTTGTTGTGGCTATTTTATGGAAAGTAGACAGAATGGATTCTAAAAATGTCATTTCCTTTTCCTTTCCCACCCATGTAGACGTCTGCCTAAAATGCATCTTCTTTTTAAGTAGTTTGTATTTGAAGGATACAAACTTTCATTGCTAAAAAGAAGGGGCAAGTCTGGGAAATCTCAGTTAGATTACCTAATACTTTAAGATTTCTATGAATAACAATATGCTGATAGGCTGTATCTCCTTGAATTGACTGAAGCATATGAAAAAGGTTCAGGACATTGTCATCATGGATTACGACAGTTTGTGAGTACTATGAGAAAAACACAAGCCCCCATCTTGCAAAGAAAACAATGACATTAATAGTTTCTTACATTTATCTTGGACTTTTATGGTTGCAGCATGCTTTAACACAAATGACCTCCAAGCCAATACTTAGTATCTGAAGTTAAGTAATGTGCAGAAGTTAATGAAGAAATGTAGTATTGGGGCTAGGTATAAAACTACATTTTTAATTTGGAATTCTGTTAATTTTCAACCAAATCATAAACTCTTCCTTTTTGCTTTGAAGACAGACAAATGAAAAAAAGTTAAGGTTGAATTGGATTTTTGCCTCATAACCATTTTTTAGCAAAAATTATCACCTTTATTTTAAAATCTAAACCTCACATCTAAAATTTTAATCTTTAATTCAGTAATTATTCATTGAGCACCCACTCTGTTTAAGGCCCTTGCTGGGTGCTGGAGATCCACTAAAGTACAAGGTCTGTTTCTCTGTCTTTGAGGGATGTTTATCTAGCAATGAGATAGGCTCTGTCTGCTGTAGGTTGAATTCCTGTCCTGCCACTTTCTCACTGTGCAACCTTGAGCAAGTATTTTTGATGTTTCTAAGACCCAGTTTCTTCACCATAAAATGTGGATATAGTATTTAACCACTAGGGATGTTGTGAAAATTACACCAAAACACATATAACATTACTAGCAGTGGTTGGCATTTATACAGAGTGTAGTGAATACTAATAATATTGTTATTGTTGCCGTTGTGTTAAACATGTATAAAATTTCAGGGTTACTGGAATGGAAATAGATGTGCTTACTGGAACTTAGGGGCATGGTTTTAATACTCTAATAAGATGTGTCCATTTGCCTAATGTTAACTAATAGTAAAATACTGGATATGTGCCAATAATTAATCTTTGGTACAGTTTTGCAGATAAAGTTGTCCATTTATACCGGTGTTTTTCAAAAGAAGTATTATATTTTGGGGGTTTCTTAATCATTTTCAGTTGAAATATATTCCAAGATTTCATGAAAGGGGGAAAACAGTATGTGTACAATGTTCAATAGGTCAGTATCCTGTTGCATTACTATTTTTAAATAAAAAGTACATGATTAAACAGTGAGAAAATATTATTCACATGTTTATCTCTTTTGAACTCTTACCCATTCATAATTAGTAGTGAAATGCTTTATATTCTTATATACCTGAATTTATTAAAAATATTAACTGGGAAATGAATGGTGATAATTATCTAGTCAGTTTACATATAACGCATAATTATGTGTATCAACTAAAGGAAAAAAGTTTCCTATATTTCATGAAATATATGTCATAAAGTTTATGAAAATATAGGAGAATTGTTTATGTAGCAACATGGTACTGTTCAGGAAATTGTTAACATTGGAACCATAAAATTATAGCATCAAGTCAGACACTTCATTGGGCTAAGATGTCCCTGAAGCTGTAGGATAAATGTGCCCAGCTCTACTTGGGCAGTTTTGGTGGTGGAGCTCATTTCTGCAGAATCAATTAAACCCCAAACTGTGTCCTCATAGCACATCTTGTTGACTACATTTCAATATAACTGCACACACCGCACACTCCACACACATGCACACACAACTAGAAACTCCTGGAGTGGGAATTGTGAGTACCATCACTGAAGCCAGATTGCCTGACCCAAATTCAGCTCTATACCACTTAACTAGGCTTACAGTTTGGGGCAAGTGGATTAACCTCTTAACCTAGTTTTCTCATGATTCTTTAAGCAGTTTGCAAGCCATCAGGCTGCGAGCTGCAACTGCTGGCATGCCCAGCATGTCTCGTCTTCTCTTAAAGGTTTATAAATCAAAATAAATAATAAAGTTAGATAGTGGGCCATTTCACAAGGAAACAGAGCTTAATGGATTTTCTTGAAAACAAAACAAAAGAAAAAAACAAAAACGTAAACCATCTACCATTGGGCCAGAATTCTAAGCTGTAGCTGAGTGTTCAGATCAGGCTAGTACTAGAGAGCTCTTCTCTCTGTCTTGTCTTTCACCAGCCCACTCCATTCATGTGTATTACTCCAGTAGTTAGGGATAAAGATCTTAAAATGTATAATATGGCTTTTTCATCACCATGCCTATAACTTTTGTTCCTGTTCTAACTCCTACTTTGACGTAATCGACTTTGCCACCAAATTTGATGGCTCACTCTCAACAAACATAGCATTTATTAAATCACCGGGAACACTGATATTCCAGCAGACTATTCCTATATGAGGATTTAAGCCAAACTGGAGTATTAAAAAAATCCGTTATATTTCTTCTTCTTTTTTAATGTCTCTCTTCTTCTGTGTCCTGATTCTCATTCTTTTGACTGCCTTCCAGGAGAAGCCTGCTTTTAGTCATTTGCATTTCACTGTACATTGAGAGCTCTGTTAATTTTTCCAAATGTACCTTTAATTGTAGAAAGATAGGATTGGCTTTTTGAGGAAGTGGTTCAGCATCAGTCTTTGGAGAAGAGATGATATTATCATATTGTCAAAAAGGTAACACCTTAATATCTCTCAGTAAAGAAAATTTTAAAAATGTTTTTCGGCCCTTTCGATGTATCAAGGAGTGTGCTCTGTCCTTTGGAAACAGAAATAAGACATAATCCCTGTCCCTGAAGAGATTATATCTATAAAAAGACAAGTGATTGAGATGCAGTGTTTTAACTGCCATGATGCAAGTTTGTACATGGTACTGCAGGGACTAGGAAAAGGCATGTCCAAATGTGCCTGCAGAGTCAGAGAAAAGTTCTGAGGTAGCGCTGAATCTGAGATTTGAGATCAGGAAACCAATTTGGTGCTGAAGGCTCACTGCTTGAAGTTCATCCAATCTGAGACAAATCTCCATTTTATTTTCTGTGTATGTTAATTTTTTGAACAATATTAAGTATTTTTACATCTTTAAATACATTTACTCTGGTTTTATTTATTAGACTATAATTAGAGACCAACTTGTGAACCAGTTTAAGCTGGATGGAGGTACATAGCAAACAGAAATCTAATTCATTAAATAACAAAAAAATTAAATGACTTTATAGAACCACATTCCAGACAGTTTTAATTAGGTTATCGACTCTTGGAGGTGAAGACATAGACTTATGAAATTAGGTTCAGTATTCTCTGAAATTGTTTGCTATGTTTATCTTTTACAGTGAACTGTTGGGACTCAGTGTTAGGCTCCTTCCCTATGAGAGGCAATGGGAATGAAACACTAAGGATCATGCTCCGATAACTGTCAGTAGAGAGTATGAGGCAGGGAGAGAGAAGACCTCATCACTGAAGGGCTAAAAGTGGAGACTGGCATAGTCCTTTATTCAAAATTTCTTGGTTGGTGCTTATTCCAACTATATCAATTTTGACTTTGAGATTAACTTTCCATGTTGCATTCCTGATGCTTGAAGCCTTTTACAGCACATGTGAATTTTCATGTAATGAAACCTATGACGTTTATTTGGCTATCATTCTAGCAGTGTATATGTTAGGATGCTAAGCTGGAGAACAAAATTCATAGCCTGACATAGAAAAAAATAATGCAGCATTCCATACTCTGATCAGCCAACCATATGCTAATGAGCAGAATGAAATATGAATATCCAACTTGCAGACTTGGTCTCACTAACAGGGTTGAGAAGATGAAAGGGCAGACTTATAATATTCATAGAGTCATTTACAAGGGCTTTTTAAAATTATATTTTCACCAACCTAATTCATTAGTAGATCTCCCCAGTGACATTAAACATATTCATAAATTGAATTGGCTATACTTCATCACAAGAAGCATATTTAAGAGTATATCTTTTCAACTCTACCAAATTCAATAACTTAACTTGTACAGATTCAATATACAGACACAGAGACCTGAGTCAATATATTAAACTGTATATTCATTTCTTCCTGATTATATCTATCTACCTGTCTCCATCTTGCTAAACATCCACCCACCCACCCATTCATATCCATCTGTTTGCCCATCCATTCACCTAATAATTGATTTATCTTTATATTCAACTCTTTACAATCTATTTATCCATCAATCATTGATATATACATCTGTCTTTAAATTCAAACTATACAATATTATATATCGTATTATGCAAAC